AGGACTGTCATATTATGTAACATGTATGCATCTGCCCCTCCTAAACAGGGATAATGACTGGCAGGTGACTACAAAGTTTTAACTATGATGATGGGAAATGAAAATTTTCTTTGGCTTTAATGCTTAGCAAATAGAAGAAGGTCGGGGTGCTACAAATTCTATCAGAGAAACCCTTGGAACATGTGGCCACCTGAGTTTTGTAAGTCTTTTGTTTTTTTAACATGAGACAATTTGTGAAAGAGTTGCTGCTGAAGAATTATAAATCAAAATTAAGTTCTTAGACTTAGAACCAAAGTCTGCTTCACAAGTCACTACAACCCAGGGTTTGTGATGGCAACAAGGACAAAGGGCACAGAGCTGGGACAATAAAAGGCCCCATCTTGGCAGATGCAAGGTATGCACTGTGCCGTTCTGACCGCTTTGGGGGTAATATTCGTGCATTTTGCTTTGAGCATCCTGCAGGCTTATCTTCCCCTCTCTCTTTCCCCTTTCTTCTCTCATCTTTTCATTCTTTCCACTGCTCCCCACTGTGGATGAACAGGTGGGGGTGGCCCTAACGTTCAGACTGAAGTCCTCAGCCCCAATGTGACGGTAGCTGAAGGCGAGGCCTTTGGGAGAGAATCAGACCATGAGGAGAGAGCCTTGTGAATGGGAAGAGGACCATTATTGAGGGCCCTAACCTCCTTGGTCCTTTCTACCTTGTTAGCAATATGAAAAAGACAGTCTTCTGCAACCAGGAAGATGGTCCCCAGCAGAACTCAACCCTGTTGGCAACCTGATCTTGGACATTAGTCTCCAAGATGGTGGGAAAATAACTTAGATCATTTATAAACAAATATTCTAATGTGTGGTACTTGGTGAAGCATCACGAACAGACATACCCAGTTCTGTGTTCATGGATCCCAGAATCAAAACTTGAAGAGGTGTACCAGTTGCTGAGATAGGAACAAATTTGACTCATATCTATATGGCGAATGGTTACCACTGTACGGATGAGTGCACTGAGTCAGACAGAAGGTACAGAATCTGCTTAGGGCCACATAGCTCTCACAACAAGACAGAATAACAGGTAACATACCTACCCTGCACAATTCTAGGGGTACAGTGATGTAGGCTATGTGCATAACAGCCTTCTTAGCCAGTCATAGAGCTAACAGCGGCCAGGCTTCACTGTTCCTCAAAACTTTAAACCATTTTCTAGGAAGACTTATTTGAAAGTTCCTCGCGCATTTTTTTAAGACTTCAGTAGAATGATTGCCAGGTTCTAATAGTAGGCAGGTGAGCCCTGAGGGAAGGGACATATACATGACATTTTTGTGGGTATCTCAAGTCTCAAATGGTCAAGTATCAATGTCTCAACACTATTATCATTACTGCTCCCGTTAATCTCTCTTAACTTTTAGGTTGTAAGCACTTGCTTTTCTAGAATGTCTGAGAAACTAGAACAGTCTATCCTATTGCTCACATCCCCTTGTTCCCACCTTGGTTTGCAAAGCTTGGGAAATAAGCACAAGTCCCATTCTTTCCTCAGGAGATTTCCTACTGTGGTCTGTAACAGCTCAGCTTCTCTAAGCAGTTAATGACAGCTAATTAGCTTCCCATTGTAGATAAGATGTTTTTGTAGGCCTCGGGTCACAAACTAGTGGGTGCAAATGAGGCCTTGTTCACTTTAATTGCCTAAGTCCAGGAGATAATAACTCCCTCTCCTGAGTGGTCAGTGTGATGTAAAAATCCCACAGAGATCCCATGTGGCCCTTCATGTATTATGACCAGGTCTGTGATCTTGAGTGGAACCACTCTCCTGGGAGTCTGGTTTGGGTACCATCAAGATGGTGGTGGTAGTGGGGAGGTGCACTGACCCCTGAGAAACCAACCATTTCTTGCTGGACATAAATCATTTCACTGGTACCCTAAACTGTTCTTTTGGGAAGATATCACTCCAGTTAAGAGGTAGTCACATGCTGTGGATATTGCTCTATATAAATAAAACACTGATGGCCAGTGACCAGGCAGGAAGTAGGTTGCCAGGCAGGAAGTAGGTGGGACAAGGAGAGAGGAGAATTTTGGGAAGCGGAAGGCTGAAGAGAGAGACACTGCAGCCACCGCCAGGAGAAGCAGCATGTAAAGATACCGGTAAGCCACCAGCCACGTGGCAAGGTATAGATTTATAAAAATGGGTTAATTTAAGATAAAAGAACAGTTAGCAAGAAGCCTGCCACGGCCATACAGTTTGTATGCAATATAAGTCTCTGTGTTTACTTGGTTGGGTTTGAGCAGCTGTGGGACTGGCGGGTGACAGAGATTTGTCCTGACTGTGGGCCAGGCAGGAAAACTCTAGCTACAGTCACATGTACGCTCAAGACAAAATAGCATCAAAGACCACACACTCTGCTGTAACCCCAACTATGATCATGCCTATTATGCAAGGGGTGGAGGAAGCATAACACCCATCCAGGGGGGGTGCATTGAGTGCCTGAGCAGGGTCCTCAGGCTCCATGGAGTTTTGCTCACCGGGAACACCATGCGTGTGCTCACAAAATATGCCTGTCTATTCCTCACCATCCTCAGGAAGCTGCATAGAAAAGAGGGACCCATTCCATACTGCCATCCTTGTTTAGGCTCAGTTATACTGTACCCGAGTGTCTAAAGAAACAATTTGTTACTCAGAGAATTCAATTTAGTAGGTAGGAACTTTAAGTATTCATCTCTTAAGATCAAAAGTCAAAGTGGAGAACTGTGGACAGTCTGAAACCTTATAATTCAATATCATCACAAGCAGGATCAGGAGACAGAACCAAGGAAGATAGAATTGATCACTTAATAATTATTAAAATGTGATCCCCACTTCATGGAACAGTCAAGAAAGAAAACAACATTAACAACTATTTCAGAATCATCTGGGATGTGGTAGCAATAGAAAAGGCTAGCACATTGGTCAAGACAGAGTTAATTTTCCACAAGGCATGTTCAGTAAAAATCACATAAGGGTCTCCTCCTCATATTATGGATTGGGGCTTAAAGAAGACACTTGAACCAAAAAAAAAAAAAAAATTGGTCTAGTTTGGAGAGTATGCTAATTTTCTTCTGGTAATAATTTTAGAAATCATGGGTTTTCTTTTCTAGGCAATTATTTTAATGAATCAATTGGGGTTTTAAGAAACAATTAAATGAGCTCAGTTTGGTCTCAGGTTCAGGAAAATGAGATCATTCATTCTGGATTTGGTTCAGCTGAGGTCAAGTCTCCTGTCTAAAACAAAATAATAGGATTGGGGTAGTTTTCTGTTATGTTCTTTACTTCCTTTGTATTGTCTCTCCAAGACATCTTTGGGTCCTTTTCTGGTGCGCACGCTTTTTTTTTGGTGTGTGTGTGTGTGTGTGTATGTGTGTATGTGTGTGTGTGTGTGTATGTGTGTATGTGTGTGTGTGTTAGTATGAACGTGCATGTGTGTGTAGATATATGTGGATGTAGAGACTAGAAGTCAGTGTCTGATATCTCAATCACTCTCCATCTGATTATTTTTAGGTAGGATCTCTCTAATTGGAACCCAGAACTTGCTGATTCTGCTAGGCTGGTTGGCAAGTTAGCCCCAGACTTCCTCCTAGTCCCCTGCCCCAGCACTGGGATTACAGGTGTCTGGTGCCATGCTCAGAGTTTCATGCAAACACTGAGTCCTCCTGCTTGTCTGATAAGCACTTCATGAACTCAGCCATTTCCTGAGCCCTGGGTCCAGTTCTTACTGAAAACACACACACACACACACACACACACACACACACACACACACACACACACACGTGTGTGTGTGTGTGTGTGTGTGTGTGTGTGTGTGTGTGTGTGTGTGTGTATTACACTAACTTCTAAACTTGTTCTCAGCACTCTGAGTTCCAATGAGAACTGATGGAATAGTAATGATTTCCCTCGTACATAAAACTGGGCATTGAATAATCAGGAATGTATCCTTTCACATTTTTAAATATTTATTTTTGTCTGTGCATGTATTTGCTGCATGTGTTCTGTGTTAACATGTGGAGGTTGGAAGTCAACTTGTGAGAGTTGGTTCTATTCCTACCATATGGGTCCTGGGGGGTTGAGCTCAGGTCAGGCTTAGAAACAACCACCTTTCCCTGCTGAGTCCTCTCGCCAGCTCCATTTGGTTTTGTTTGTTTGTTTGTTGGTTGGTTGGTTTTTTGTTTGTTTGGTTTTTTGTTTGTTTCTATGTCGCTTGGGATAACCTCCAACTTGCTATATAGTGGCCTGGGCTGGTCTCAAACTCACAATCCTTCTCCCTTAGTCCTCCAAGTGTTAGCATTGCAGGCATGTGCCACTATGCCTGGCTTTATGATTTCCCTTTAACCAAGTTACATTGCTAGATATTCAGATCATACCAAGTAGCTAACACAGCGATAGAGGTAATCATTGTACAAGTAATGCAACCTCTCCAGATACAAGTGTCTCCGGTGATGCTAAACCAAGCCCAAGCGCTGTCACCTCTGTAAAAACATGGTACACCAGGAAATATTTTTCCAAGGAATAGTATAAATGGAAACATATGACACAGCAGTTCTTAACCTGTGAGTTATGACCCCTTGGCGCGGGGGGGGGGGGATGTATGTGTCAAACGAAAGGGGTGGGGGGGATGTATGTGTCAAACGACCCTTTCACAGGGGTCCCACATCAGGTATCCTGTATATCAGATATTTACATTAGTATTAATAGCAGTAGCAAAATTATGGTTATGAAGTAGCAATGAAAGTAATTTTATGGTTGGAGGGGCCCACAACATGAGGAACTGAATTAAAGGGTCGCAGCATTAGGAAGGTTGAGAACCACACTGTGGGACCAATGACAGTAAGGAAACATAGAGAAGGGAAACGCCATTTCTTTAAGAGTTTAGAATCGCAACACAGCACGGGTGTTGGGAACAAGGCATGGGGCTAAGGTTCAGTAAACAGAAGTTCTTCCCAGACAGGAGACGAAGAAATTCCCACACGTCTCTTACCTGTGATGGTGGCTTTGTTGATGGATGGTTGGTTGCACATGGGTGATCTTCTAACAAAGAGAGAAAACACAAAGCAGTGAGTGTGTGGTGCTTTTTGACTTCAGTGCCCTACACTGTTTTGAATGTGATATTCTCGTCTAGAGAATTATTTTAAAGTTATGACATGAACATAAACACTTCGTTCAGATTAGCCAGGAAAGTTCTTAGATGACCTTTCGCTGTGGCTCAGGCTACAGGTGGGAAAAGAGGGATAGAAAAAAATAAATCAGCTTGATTCTTGTAGCTGAATATTGGGGGAGAGAAAACAGACAGCACTGTCATAGGGATGTGTTCGGAGAGGGCATTCTTATTGGCCGGCTGTATGCATGTATTCACTTAAGTTAGGGTATGCAGAGCAAAACAGACTTTTTGAGTGTGGAAATGTGGTCAGCTTATAAGAGTTTTCTCTGGTGCAATATTAGAAACTTATTTCTGGCTTATAGTCTCATGATTTCTTGTACATTGCCAGGAATGAATGATTGCTTCTAAACAATGCTGCAAATAGAGGAGGTATGTAAATGTTTTTCTTTCCAGTTTCTTCATTGAGACACGTCTCTGGCATGTTTGTTAGAGAGGTATATTAATAGCTTGTCTAAACAGATGCCTTAGAAATTTTGGTCCCCATAAACCCATTGTACTTCAAGAGACTCCATTTGGTATCCTTCACTGCTTCTTCAGTTGTTTGCCAGCTTCCACGAGACAATTATAAACATTTAAGAAAATGCCTGCTCTTCCAGTAACCAATATTCCCTATGAAAGCCAACACAATGCATATAGTATTCATTTGGCCAGTGCTAACTAAATGATGCTGAAAAGAAAAATCTTTTATGAGACATCCATTAAACAATTTGGAAATACAACATTTAAAAGTTATTTTGTATAACTGGCAGCCTTCAAAGGGCAGCAATATTTACAAATCCTTCAAGAAACAAATACGTTGCAAGATGTCTGCAAAACATCGAAGGCCTTTTGCATGTGTGCGCATGCATGTGCATACACACGCTTTTTCTAGTGGTTGATGCTTACTAAACCCTGCACTGTTGTTTCATTTAGTCCTTATGACAAGCCTCGAGTCCTTATGAGCTGTCTGTGTGTGTTTTGCTAAGGAAGAACACAGTCAGTTTTGAGAAGTTGAACGTTTTGGAGTATGAAAGCTGAGATTTGAACTAGAAGACTGCAACACTAATGGTGCCCTCTGTTCTGCTGTCTTACTATTAGGAGTGTGCATGTGTGCATGTGTGCATGTGTGTGCATGTGTGCATGTGTGTGCATGTCAGAGAGAGCTATTAGGAGTGTGTATGTGTGTGCATATCAGAGAGAGAGAGAGAGAGAGAGAGAGAGAGAGAGAGAGAGAAAGAGAGAGAGAGAGAGAGAGAGAGAGAGAGAGAGTTCTTTACATCTACTCTGCTGATAGGCTGTGTCCCCAAGCCGAGCTTCAGGACACCTAGGGAACACAGTCTTAACATTATGTAGGCTTTGACGGGCTCCACTCAATTGCACCCAACTGCACCACTGATCTTAAGTTTATTGGTGTGTGTTTTGTATTTCAATTTTGTATATGACTGAAAATGTACTGAGATCTATGTCTGTGTTATTTTATATTTTTACTAAAAATAAAAAGTGAAAGTGTGAACGTGATAAATGCTTTAGAAAACAAGAGTTTAATGTTTTAGACAGCTGCTCTGTCTGGCCTATGTAGCATGGTTATACTCTTGCTGAAGGTTTATTTTACACAGGTGACAGAACATGTTCAGGGTGGCATTACTGTAGACTAGAGTTTTTTCAAGTAAGTCATATATTGATAAGAATTTTAAGTCACTCCTTGTTCTGTAAAACTCTCTAAAGTACTCCCTTGGCATGGGAATATCAAATGAAGATACTGTGCTTTTCTATAGTTTTAGAAAGCAACATCATTGCCTTGTTACTATTTATCTTTTCCTAGGATCAGTTCTATGGCTTACGTGTGGGAACCTGGCACCCCAAAGAGTGAGAACAACCCATAAATATTGACCACTAGATCCACGAGGACATTGGTATATCATTTAGTGAAGAATGAGCCAAACTTCACTTCTGGGATATATATGGCAAGAGAGTGAGATGACAGAAACTAACAGTGGGGTAAAGCTTAGGGCACATTCTCCCTCACGTCCTTTCCTAGAGAAAACAAAGAGGCACATACCCTCCCCTAAGTGTGATGGTGAGCTTGGAAATGTCTCAGTGGCTATGAGTGCTCATCAGGCAAACATGGACCCCTCTAGAAGAGTTGTTCTCAACCTGTGGGTTGTGACCCCTTCGGCAAACCTCCATCTCCCAAAATATTTACACCATGATTCCTAACAGTAGCACAATTACAGTTATGAAGTAGCAACAAAAATAATTTCATGGTTGGGGGTCACTGCAACATGAGGAACTATATTAGAGGGTTGCAGCATTAGGAAGGTTGAGAACCACTGCTCTAGAGTTATTATGCATGTGCCCTGTGCTGTCCCTGAACCGGTTGTCAGGAGGTTAATTTCTGAATTATGATGCCCCAGGAATCTGGTTTAACTTGAGCCAGGGGGTGAGGTACACATTTGCACTGTCCAAATGTACCAGTTCTTCTTGTAGTCTGCTGTATTACAGTGTCTGTTTGGCAGGCATCAATCACCATGGGTATTGTAGAGTCAGTCAAGCTAGATGGACATTCCAGGGTTACCTATGACTTCCGGATTTCCTTCTTTTTCATTTAAATCTGCTCTGACCCTGTTAATCAGTTAAAAATATCTCCTTGGTATAGAATGGGCATCTCCTGTGAGACACGAGGGTCAGTGGAAGACCCTCACACCTGTCACACCTCACACCTGTCAGATTAACTGTCATGAGTTTAAATGCTGCTTACTGAGGTGACAGTATCTGAAGGAAACTTAAAGGAAGTTTGGTCTCTTATTTGCCTTTAAAAGACAAAGAACTGGATTTCTCAGATGAAATTTGCAACGAACAAGTTTGAGAGTGGCATACAATGGCTTTATTTTTCCTGCTGAATGGAGACTTTACAAAAGTGAGGTGTTCCTATACAGTACTAAAAGCCCAAGAAGCTTGCTGAGGTCAGCATGACATGGCCCAGCTGGCCATGCTGCACAGAAAACGCCATTGACAAGAAATGGATTCCTCCAAGCACATTCTGGGGGGGGGGGGCAAACACTAGCACATGACTATCTGCAGCACCTGCAGGATGGTTGAGCTGTGTTAGTATGGGAGCTGAGGACACAGATATGAGCAAATTACAACCCATGGTTAATTTCCAAAGCAAGCAGAACCCGTCCGTGATGATGCTGTGAGTGTAACTGGCCGAGGACCTCTCTTGCCAGGTGGTTTCTGACAGATGGAATCACTGCATTCACTTGTCAAACACCAGAAGGGTCAATACAAAGTACTTCTAGAAAATGAAGCGGGCACTGTGTGAGACAGAGCGCACAGCTGGACAATGGCCGTGATTCAGAAATGTCTAACGTATTGTCTTGAGTTTCAGTTCAAGTTGAGAAGATGCTAATGGGAGGGAGAGGGTGTAGCTTACTTGCTGGGTGCTCGATCTTGCAAATTAGTTAATGCAGCAAAGTTGTTTCGTACAGTTCGCAGGCTTGCCAAGACCTATGGCAAAAAGAGAATTCTTTAGCGTTCTTGAACAGTGGTCAGTTGGAATGCAGCTAGGCATGCTTTTTACAGTAGGAATTTTATATGGCTTGCAACTCAGTTTCATATACCATTACAGATTCTTCCAGAACTTAGCAAGTTTTTAATCCTGATATATAAAATCCAGGATTTTGACTGGGATTAGACTCCCAGGATTTTGTAGAAATCCCCTCTCACTGGCTTTGCTTGTGGTAACAGTAGCAGCAGTATCCCCATACCCTTCAGTCATCCACACAGTGTCCCCAGCAATTGCTATTATGACTATAATACAAAACACCATGAAAGGCTCAGTTTAGTGATTCAAACATACAATTAGTCTCGAATTCTCTTAGAAAATTCAAGATTCCTGTGATCTCAGGTCATCAGGTGAAGTAAGTCTTCAGTTGTTTTTCCATATTTGCACAGGACTATGTCTACAGCTAGTCTTTGCCTCTGCAGCAATGGTGCACATTGTGGAACATAAGAAGTCCCCAGAAAGTCGTTTATCACAGAAAACACTAGTGCCCTATACAAAGGGTACTATTCTGTACAATTCCTGGAGCAAAGAAAGTGTTCAATAAGATTGGATTGAAGAAACTAACACACGGATGCCGTATATCCACATGTATGTGAATGTGCCAGGAAGTAGATGGCCCCACCTCTTCCAGCCCCTTTATTCTAACTCCAATCAGAAACAGAAGAGGGCTAAGGGATGGAAGTGAGTCCTACAGAGAAGTTACAGGAGCCCGCTGACCCTCACTTTCTTCTAGAACAGGCTGCTTTCCTCAGGGGTGGAACCTTTAGTAGGATTAAAGGTACCAATAAGACCTCAGTGCTTATTAGAAGTCCGAGTTTGTAAAAAGCACAGAATCCACATGTCCTGGTATGTGTCTTGTATCAAATGCACACACTTGGACAAGTTGTGACACCTCCTGTACCCCTGTTTCCTTGTGTGTAAAAGAGAGATAGTGCTATCTAGCCGTCAGGGTTGTTGTGAAGGTTAAGGGAAACTACAGCTTCGTGCCAACGACATTGCCTAAGCAAAAAGTATGCAGTGACTGTGTGTCCATTATGGAAACTTCCATTTAACTGTCTGGCACATGAGAAATTTGCATAATGCTTGTCAGGGGCAATACATAGAATTCTCAGGTTTTTCATTGATCTGGTTGTTCGAGAACTGTGCCCCGAGTTTCTTCATGGGACAGTGATCCTGACGAAAGCCACTCTGTGTCTCGGGCGTTTGTTTTTGGGAGTTGACGGGAACTTGTGCAAGTCAAAGGGAGCTGTTTATGCTCTCAGCAGTGACCTTCAGCAGTCCCCCTGAAGGAGCCCATGGTGCCTCCTAGGAAGCCAGCCAGTCATTGGAAAACCTGGCTCATTATCACACACAGCTCTGAAAGGTCACACCGCCTGTGACGGAGTATCCAAATGGCTAGCTGCTGACGTCAGACCACAGTGTCTTTCATGAGGCATGAAATTCTGAATGATGCAGAAATAAATGGATTAATGATCTAGTCATGAAATCACGCTGGCTTAATTTGTGTTTTAAGATGTGAATATCAAACATGTTAACAAAGCATTGAAATACAATTATTGCATCAGCTAATGACTCCCTCTTTTAGACTAAGATTTTAACCTCAGAATTTTGAGAGAATTTTTCACTTTAATACAAAACGCTTAAGTCCAGTGTATCTGGCTACTGGGTAATATAAGCAGTAACTGAAGTATTTCACTTCTGTAGGAAGTGTTTTGCAGGTAATCCACAGCTTTTTGATCATTTAAAAACAAACAAACAAACAAAACATAAGTCCATTAAGGAAAACCTTAGTTCATGAACAAAATCTCTTCTATGGAAAGAGGTTTGTTTTGTTTTGAAATGGGGCTCACTATGTAGTCCTGGCTGGCCTAACACTTACTATGCAAGACCACACTGGCCTCCCATTCACAGATCTTCCTACTGTACTCCTGGTTTGCTGGGGTTAAAGGTACCTGCTGCCACAGCTGACCTATAGAAAGTTTTTAACTTTTGTTAGACTAGTAAGATACTAAACTGAATTATTTGTTTGGTCTTCATCATGTAAATTTTATGTATTTATTTTAAACAATTCCTATCTTTGGATGTTGAAGAATTTTACCAGCAAAAAAAAAATAAATAAATAAGTAAAAAAAAATAAATAAAAATGTTGTCAAGCAGAAGAATATCTATCTCCATAATCAAGATAGACATCAAGTGATTGTTATTTCTTTGAACAGGAATGCACATGGAATGGGGGACAGACGTTTAAGCATCATTTGAAGCATTCATACTGTTCCATTTCTTCTTTACTTTCTTTTTCTTTTTTGTTTTTCCGAGACAGGGTTTCTCTGTGTAGCTTTGGTGCCTGTCCTGGATCTCACTCTGTAGCCCAGGCTGGCCTCGAACTCACAGAGATCTGCCTGGCTCTGCCTCCCGAGTGCTGGGATTAAAGGCGTGCGACACTGCCACCCGGCGCTATTCCATTTCTTAACTGCTCATTCTACTATTGCTATTCCTGCCTTATGTATTTACTACATCAACAGTGTGGTGCATTTCAAAATGAAAGTGAGAGAACACCCTCTCCCACCCCCAACCCCAGCTCAGGCATTGGCTGCCTGACCCTGGCCTGCTGACTTCCAGGCTATCCCTTCCCTCATGCAGTTGTGAACTCTGATATAGAGAATGACATTGAAGACACCCGGAGGTGTGGCTTAGATCACTGTTTTGGTTTGTGGTGGGACAAAGCTTGCTTTGTATGTTTTCTGTTGAAATGTTCACAGCATCTCCCACTCTGTAACTTATATGATGGTGGCAAAAATGTAAATAGAAATTTTCCCAATGAATCTGCTGTATTGGAGGTTGCCCTGGGTCTGGGTGATTGACTGGCATTCTTCATACAAATATTGTTAAGTTTTTCTCTTAAACATTCTTGTCTCTCAGGACACAAGGAGGGAAGCAAGCCTTGCCAGGCAATCAGGAAAAGAGGAACGGGGCTTACCAGAGCCCCTGGGTGAAGGTTCAAGTTCATGGATTCTCTTCTAATCCAGAGCAGCTCTCTGCTCTGGCATCAGAAGCTGAAACCCATGCTCTGCAGCGCCTAGAATTTTCTTGTCTCTTTAATGCTTATTATCAATGGTTCTCTACAGCTTCTTCCACATGGCTTAGGCTTAGAAAATTAAAATCATTGCTTTCTCTTTTGCCAGTCTCAGTAAACATACAATTGCTTAGGAAAAACAAACAAACACCTAACCAAACAAACATGGGAATGTTGAAAAAATATAAATCTTAACAGTGAATAGTGATAACACTACAGGAAAAATTGTTCACTAGCCACGAGGTGAGAATATTCACAGACACAATTCTCAGGCTCTTTTAGGGCCTTTCAAGCATTTCTTAGCCAACAGGACTCACTGAAGTTGGCAGGAGAGTGCTAGTTTCATTAAACAGCTTAAGTGAAGGAATGGAAATGTTTTTCTGGATCGTTTTTTTTTTCCGGCCCATACACAGGTTACACCACTGGGTGGCAGTAGAACACAGTCTGTGAGATTCAGGCCAGGGAGGAGGCTGTGTGTCCTTGTGAGGTTAAAGACCCTTACTTAGGCTTCACTTAAGGAAAAAAAAAAATAACGGAGAATTATTTACAAGATAAAAAAAAAAAGTTACTTTGGTTGAAAAACAAACCTCTATCCAAGTTATACTTTTGTGAAAACACATGAAGTGATTCCTTAATGATTTAGCCTTGTTAGAACAGAGCTATCTAGAAGGATGTAATTCATTCTGATGATACACAAATTGTTTATTTGGTATTTTTTTAATAAAAGTTGAACATAAAGCAACTGAAAGGAGACAATGATCTCCCATTGCCCAGTAGAGGTCCCCTTGTAGTCAATGAATTTGGTCACATGATCACTTCTCCTAGGTGGCATGGGAAGGGGCAGGCAGCTTAAAAGTGTATTGGGGATGATCTGCTACTAATGGAACAACAGTTCTCCATTGTGTTAACAACCACTGTATTTTTTTCCTCTGAAACTATCTAGGTGTTGTAGTTTGTTTGACACAAGGAAAAGGATGCAGTTGTTCCTACGCCGTGTGTTGTTTTCAGAGCAGGCATATTTCCCTGTGTCTAAAGGACCCAAGGATGTTTGCTTCCAGGGACCCAGGTTTTGGATGCTTGTTACCAGGAAGCCAGGGTGGTCCCAAACAGTGGGACTGTGCGGGGGAAGCAGCTGGACTACAGAGACAGTTTCCCAGCTTCCAGAGCACCTTTAACCCTTGTGTGCATCAGTCCTAAGGACTCTGGCTAAATTGTTGCTATGTTCAAAGGGAAGAAAAGAACAGTGGGCATGCAGGGCAGGTCAGGGTGGGGGGGGGTGCCTCCCAACAACACCCGACTACATGCCTAAGGAAATACAGCAAAAAAAATTGAGCATAGAAAAGAATCATTCTATAATAAAATACACAAACAAATGAAAGCTGGCACCCTTTTCTGTGGGTCAGAGAGCCTCAGATCTTATGTAAAAAAGTTTCAGGACTTTAGAGTATAAGAGTTAGGAGGTTGGATACTATTTAGTATCTAAATCTTGGTGTGATTTGGACATGAGAAGAAAACTTGGAGAGATTCTGTAGACTCCCTTCTGGTAATTAGATCTATCCAAGATGTTTGAGGTCCTGTCTTGCTCAACAACACAACTGGTCCCCAACCATTCTATACATGTTCTCAAACACTTTAACTCATTTTTTATCATCTCATATCTATGCCATGGAGTTGAAACATTGTTGTTTCTTATGCACGAAGAACTCAAATGTGTCACTCAGCTAAATCTTTGTACAAATAACACATGTTAAAAAAATGGGAGTAAATAAAGTATCAGGTTGAACGGGAATATTGAATTTCAAACACAGATCATGTACTAATTATACTAGATGTAATTTAATCCATGATACAGTCTTCTCCTTCGGGTGCTAATTCCAGTTAAGGAAATAGGGGCCCTCTGAGTACTATCTCCCTTGGGTAACTTGTTATTTGAAGTACAGACACTGCTTAGGTCTAACAGCCTTATCCAATGCACATCTGTAGGGCTAAGGTTACGTTCTCCAGGATTGCCTTTTAATTATTTGAATGAGCCGAACAATTCGCATCCTAACACCTGTGTGTGGTAAAGTTACATCAAGGATCAGAATAAAAATCCCCACATCACATGTGTGAATCTCTAAGAAGCCTGCACACTTCAAGCTGTGCTTACCTGAGCAAATGGAGTCACAATCAAGTCGTCTCCATGTCTGAAAAACAAACCAAATCCAGTGTTAGAAGTCTCCCATAAAGCTCTGACCACTTTTGATCAACATTAAACGGTCCTGTTCCGTTGGAAGAGACTCCCACTGGGAATTACAGCAATTCTATCTTTCTCTTCAGCACATGCCCTTCCCAGCCACTGGGTTGAAAACATCTGCTGGATGTTAACCAGTGTTCCTCTCCCTTGGTCTAAAGAGGGGATCCTTGATTACCAACCAATGTCAATGTTGCTTTTTAGGCTCAAAGGCTGTGTTATAAGTAGACAGGGGTTCTCAGCTCTGGGCCTGCGCTTTACTCTTGACCTCCTGGTGCAGATCTCAGCCAGGGATGCCGTGCAAAGAAGCAGCCGTAGCACTGGCCTCTCCGAGTGTGCCCTGGGCCATCTAACATTTGTAGGTGATTAGCATCAAGTGATCATGTGTAAGCCCTGGATAGGCCAGGAGCCGAACATGACATGGGGCTGCATCATCCACTAATAAAAACCCCAGGAAACTTTTTCGACTGACTCGTGTTCCAGCCACAGTGCTTACAGGGGAATGTTACCCTGTGAGGGCTGTTGCTACAGTAACGTCAGCTCCAGTAAGACGGGAGATACAAGAGCAAGGTGTCCATGTGACGTGTCTTGGAGAAGCAGGGGAATGCAAGAAGTCATGCAACATTCTTCTTGAAAGAAAGTGGGAAATTGGGACCTGGGGCTCTTTGCAGTATTTTCCAGTGTGAAAAAGTGGAGGAAAGGATATACCAAATCTCAGTGGGTTATTTCTTAATCTAGCCAGTCACAAGCTATTTTATCCAATCATTTAATTTTTACTTATCTTGAAAGACAGAAGCTTGCTTGTTCTATCAGGCTGATCTGATTTTTTTTTTTTTTTGCTCCCACCTTGGCCCTGTGAGTGCTGAGATTTCTAGTGTACACTGCCATTGGCTACCTTAGAAAATATTTTTTTTAAAGAAAGGATTGTTTTTAATCAAGTAAATGCAGTTATTTTACACATGCATTTCCTTGACATAATCCTCACTGAGTGCTGTTCACTTGAATTGCCAGCTTGTTCCCGATCATCTGAAAAGGACCCAAGTCCCCAAACCAATGTCTATGAGTCCTGCAGTACGTGGAGCAGGGTGATGGCACTTGTAATGGTTAATGATGATGAGACCCCCATCATGGAAAGCAGTCTGCTCCCTAGGGAATACTACAGAAAGAAACACATGCAGACTTCCAGAACAGACAGAATAAGCCATTGCAAATCACTGTGGAAGTTAGGATCACATTGGTCTTGAGTCTTGTGATGTGGAATTGGTACCTTATGACTGTTCACCTACCCTGATCTCCCTGAGCTAAGTAAAAGTCATTCCTGTGGCCACAAGGAATTCCACCTCTCCCCTCTTCCAAGAGAAAGATGTTCTGTCTCCTGAGTCAGTGCTACTGGGGACCTGGGGGACAGGCTCAGTGGCATGTGTTGACAAGAGAAGTGGCAGTCCCCCCATTCTCCACACCTGCGTCATCTTCCCCTTACAAGTCCACAATCCCTGCTACTGAGGGAGCTGAGGCAGAAGGAACAAAAATTCAATGCCTGGTTGCACTACAGGGTGAGTTGATGAACAGCCTGGGCAACTTAGCAAGATCCTGTCTCAAAAATCAAAATATATCTAAAGGTCTGAGATACACTCTAATAGTTCACTGGGAGCATGCTTACTTTGCATGCATGAGGTCCTGTGCTCAATCTCTAGTAACAAATACACACACACACACACACGCACGCACGCACGCACGCACGCACGCACGCATGCATACACATGTACACACACATCCACAAATAAAAACCCACAGATTTCACTAAAATACTTTAAAAAATTCAATATAAGTTTAAATCATAATTGTAAATAGTCACAATCAATATACAGCAATAACAAATATTTGTCAAATGACTCACTATGCAAAGAATTTCAGAATGAGTGTCTCCTAGTTAATGTCTATTGTGGGTGAGGAAAGGGAGTCCCAAGAAAGACTCAAAATCATATGTCTGTGAAGATATTTGAAGAGGACTCAAATTCAAGTTGTATGTCTGCGGGGCTCTGCTCTTACACATACGTGATTCTCCATCTCCCATGACTTAACCAATGTCAAAAGCACTCCAAAAACAATGCTGACTCTGTGGTATAGTTTTTATTTCATAAGAGTATCATTAAGATAGAATGTCATCATAATAAATACAGAGTGATAAAATAAAATTAAACAGCAAATAAACACAAGCAAACACCACCGCACCAGTGACTTAATAAAACCAGCTCAGGTGTGGTGATATATTGTGTATGCTCTACAAATAAAGCTTGCCTGAAGATCAGAGAGCAAAGCCAGCCACTAGTGAGTCATAGAGGCCAGGCAGTGGTGGCACACACCTTTAATCACAGTACTACGGATCTCATGTCTTTGCTCCCAGAACTTGGGAGGCTCACACAACTTTAATCCCAGCACTAGGGAGGTTGAGACAGGAAATGATATGGCTGGGCAGAGAAAGGAATATAAAGCTGGAGGAGACAAGATCTCAGTCTTTTCGGCTGAGGAGTTGGTGAGGTGAGAGGTAGCTCTAGCTTGTTCCTTTGTCTTTCTCATCTTTTAGCATTTACCCTGATATGATATCTGGCTCCAGGTTTTTATGAAGACCAATTAGGATTCATGCTACACTCAGCCTTCCTGATGATCTTCACATCTTACAACCTGCAACTAAATAATAGAGAAACCAGTGAAAGACTATTTACTTTGGATCTAGAAATAGGGTTCTGAGTGATAGTTAACTAACATACAGGTCACAAGAACTCTGAAGAAGGCATATAATAGGCACTTACATATTAATATCTGTAAGTTAGCATGTATGTTATATATATTATATATATATATGTATGTGTGTGTGTGTGTGTGTGTGTGTGTATGTAAAGAGAATTTCCAGGCTCTCATTTTTTATTATAAACATTTATTTTTATGCTAAGTTTCAAAAAAGGAAAAAAATGTCCTGGGGGCAAAATCTCACCTATCACCTATTATTGGACATTCAGAAAATTGACTTATTTTCCCTATTTTACTCCACAGGGAAATTTTATCAGACATCAGCCTTGTACATATTACATATGACTTCATATAATTTAAGGATACCAAGTAAGGCTGAGGATGCAGCTCAGTGATAGAGTAGTTGTTTAGCATGTGTGAGGAGGTCCCAGGTTCCATCCCCAGCATCTCATGCCTCTCAGATATCTATGTATCCATATATTTTTATCATCTAGCTTCAGAAAAACGTTGTGACCTTAGAAGGAACTTGGTACTCTAAAATTTAAAATATCACCTCACTTCTGGTTAACATTTTAATAATTAATAAACAACTTCATCATAAGAATTCAAATGACTACTTTATAAAGGAGCACATGCACTCTCCAGGTAAAATGTACCAATGATTGATAGGTGTTTAAGAAAGTACTTAACAGCACTCAGCATTGGGGAAAAAAATGCAAATTTCAACCAAGATATCAGCTCTCACCTCTTACAGTTTAATTTCATTTTAAAAAGCAGCAGATTGCCGGGTGGTGGTAACTCATGCCTTTAATCCTAGCACTTGGGGGGAAGAGAAATGGGGATCTCTGTGAGTTAGAGGTCAGCCTGGTTTACAGAGTGAGTTTTAGGACAGTGAGAGCTGTTACACAGAGAATCCCTGTCTTGAAAAACCAAAAAAAGAAAAGAAAAGAAAAAAAGATCATGTCTCCTTCATGCCAATGGCAGTACAATGGGCTCATAGAAAAGCAAAAGGTGAAAGATATTTCAAGAAAAGATGAAAAGTGACAAGCAAGGACACAGAGGTGTAAGGAACTTTTTGTGCTGTCTCTAGGATTGTAAGTGGTTCCAGCTACAGATGAAAGTGTATGAAGTTCATCCAAAGTTGAAATATTGCCCCTAGAAGACACATTATCCATTCCTGGGTATACAGCCAAAGAAAATGGAAGCCTCATGTCACAGAGATATCTGCATTCCCAGTTCACTGCAGAAGTACCCCCAGGAGTCAAGAGCCATGCACGACACGGGCTCATCTTAAGTGTCCATCGTAGGTGGGAAGATAAATAAAACTTGGTGTACATAGCACACAGACTATTACTCAGAATTGAAAAAGAAAACCATTTGTCACAAGACATATGAAGATGAGGTACACTACACTTAGTGTAATAAGGCAGATAAATACTGCACGATATCATTTCTGTGATATCAAATCAAAACAGAACAAAGCACTCCTTAGCGTAGGAGAGTGAAACTTTGATTACTAGGGCTGGGAAGTGAGGAGGGGTTAGAAAGCCTGATGAGAAATAAGCTCATGAGATTTATAGCCCAAATTGATGGCTATAATGAACAATAAGACACAATACACTTGAAAATTTCTAACAGGTGATTTCCACATCACAAAAGCAATAACTATATAAAGTGATAGATACATTAATTAGCTCGGCCTAATGATTACACAATTTAGACTCATATTAAATATTTTACTGTATATCCTGCAAACACAGACAATGTCTTATTTGTAGGCTAAAAATATACATTTTAAAAAAGAATGAAGAGCTGGTTGATCTTTGAATCAACCAAACCAAACCAAACCAAACTTTAATACCAAGTACAGTGGCACATGCCTTAGTCCCAGCATTTGGGAAGTGGAGGCAGGAGGATCAGGAGTTCAGTGTTGTGGTTTACTATATAGTATTCAAAGCCAGCCTGGGCGACAGGAGACTCAGTCTCAGAAATAATAAATAAAGCTATAGAGATGGACCAGCCAGAAAACTGCTTGCCTCACAAGGCTGAGGGCCTGAATTTGATCCATGGAACCCATATTCAAAAATCCAGGCATGGTGGTGCATTCTTGTGATCACAGCATTGGGAAAGATGGATCCCTAGAGCTTACTGACCAGCCAGTCTACTATATTTGGTTAGTTCCAGACCAACGAAGAACCATGTCTC